TATTTTTAGTATTGCCATTATTTTCATTCCGAAATTATAATTATCGTGATACTATTTAAAGGGCAAATACGTCAGACTGTGTTACCCATTTTGTGTAATTGTGTGTGTGAAGTACTTTGCAAGAAGCGAAGGTAAATGAAGTGAAATTAGAAGAGTTTATGTTACAGTGCTTTAGCATCTTTTATCATAAATAATCTCTGGTGGATTTTTTAGCACGGTGTTTGTTTTAAAAGACAAATCTTATCTTGTGACTGTTAATTTAAAAAATCACAAGTGAATTTCTCGACTGTTTTAAAGCAGGACCCCTCTCTTTAATTGAAGACAAGCTGAAGTAAATTCCTTCTGTAGATTCTGTAGCCAATTTACACTATCAAGACCATTCTGCTTTGTGGCTCAGTTTTAGATGGTATATTGTGTTGTAAAGTGAATGGTGTGATGTGATGGCTGAATTGGGATAGTGAAATGGAAGAAGCCTTTTGCCTGAATTGGGTTTTCATTCATTTTTTTTTCATGGTTGTGGACTGGGAAAAGTGAAAGTTCAGTGGCTGCTTTATTTGTTTTGCTACTTTAGATTGTATTGTGGTTTGCTTAGTGGTTTGGTTACATTAGTTGTTGTTTTTTTTATTTACTTTACATTTCTGCAGTTTAAGTTGGATGTAGTATTTGTTATGCCAAGATTGAAATTAGTATAGAGTAACTTGCATTAGTATATATATGCAGATAGAAGAAATGGAAAGTAGATAGGTGAGTAGATACATTGGTGTAGGTACAGAATGAAATTGATTGGTATATGCAAAGTTTTCATTGAAATGCAGTGATAAAAGTAGAGAGGCATATACTGGAAGTTGTTCTTAGTGGAAGTTTGTTGTATAACATACATATATATATATTGAGGCATGTTCAGTTGCATTATTGTTGTTAAATGTATACTAGATACAAGTCTGTTTCAAGCTTTAGCACTTCTTTGTCAAAGGCCAAATGTCATTATCTAATTTCCCCGATTTTGAACTCTCCAAAATGTGTATAACGTGGCAATACAGAGTCCTTAGACTGCCCTTGCAAATTATTGTCATATAAGGAACTAGGTCATTCTCAGCCTGGCCAGAATGTGCAAGATGGAGGTTTGTTAGCCTTTACTGGAGAGTAATTTATGGAGGCGGTTGCATTTCCCTCACACTGCATATAGTTGAATTGGTCCTTCAGTTGTATACTTCCTGTCATAGCAATACGTAATAATTTTGAGTGCACAGTCAATATTGTTGAGAGAGAAAAGAAAATCCATTTTGAAAGCCACAGGGGTTTCTTGGAAATACCGTATTTATTTGTTGTGTATATGAAAACGGAAAAAGTCATACACGATGAAATCCCCATTGAAACAATAAGAACGTGTATATTTGTAAAACTTAAGGATCTCTTCTAATTTTTCCTTGTAGTTAATCTGCACCAGAGGAACAAAAATTTTACTCCATTGGATTTGAATAGTAGATTGCAAAAAACATGATACTAATTGTCATTAATCCCTTTTATCCTGCTTTCTGTATAGTAGGACTTAAAAGTATGCATGGGTATGGTTATGTCATAATTATGCTATGCTCTTACCTGTTGATTGAGGTAAAGATTCTGTTGATAGCTTGGTGATTAGTGGCAGGGTTAACAAGTTAACCATAATCATTTGATAATTGACAGGTCACAGATGTTGAAAATACAGTCATGTTATTTGGACATCTTGTATTCAATCAGCCATCACCAAATTCTGTAGCATATCATTGGTTTGATAAGAAAAACTGTGCTTAGTTCTTTCACTCTTTCAAGAATTCCTGTAACATGTTGACACCAGGCTTCTTTACATGCTTGTTTGTCATGATTTAGACGATTCCACAAGCACATAGTCACAAGGCGTTGTTTACTAGACCTACCCGATCTTGCATTATAAGTGTTATATTGATACAGGTAGAGATGTTATAATGGTAATGATAATTATGAAGATTATAATTATGTTCTTATTTTTATTCTCAGTATTGGTAACATAGACAATATAAATATCTAATATTAGATGTTTGGGTAATTTTTTAGTTTCACGTAGCTATCCAAGGTTGTAATTAACCCATTCGCGCCGGGCGTCACGTATACGTGACGGGCCCACTGTGAGTTTACTCGTTTGATTGTTTACAAACATAGATGGCTCCACTTGCACTTGTACTGCCTGTCTCGTCTGTTTACCCTTTTCTTTAATTTACGAAATTATTTTGCGTTATCTTATTTTGCAGTTACTAATGTTTATAACATTATAGTAATTATAATGTTTATAATAAAGATAATCATCGATATTCATAGCACTAGTAAAAATACATTTTCCCGCCAAATGAAATCCGGTAAAGCAGAGCCATCTAGTGTAGAGAAATTTCATAAAAAAAAATATAAAAAATGAGCACAGCATTTCCCCCATTTTTTGTTCATTTTTACCCGGCACGAATGGGTTAATATTCCTTCTCTCAATTATCCACACTGTAATATGTGTGTATCTCCTGTTATTTTCCATTGCAAATGAGATTAAGTCGGAAATCCACAAACATAGCCACATGAACCAAAAACCTACCTAACGCCCATCCGATCGCCATGTTTCCTCACCAGGGGCTCTGTCCTCATATCCCCACCATATTGCTGTTGACTTACTCTCTGCATGGTATTTGATATGACCTATTTTCTTTTTCCTTTTTTTTTATTTATTTATTTTTTTTTTTCTTTTTGCATCTACATAGGTTATTTCACTTATTAATGAGTGTACTTTTTCTTTTATTATAATAGTTCCATTACGTTTTCCTGTAAATGTGTACTAAATTCTTACTTGTTGCACAACTTCCTTATTATCAAATTGCAAAGATAGTACCATATATGAAAAGTCTTATTTTTGGTCATTCTGTTTGTTACAGGCAAATGTTACTTTTGTAGTACATGGTGGTAGGAAACAAACTATATACTGATATTTGTATTTTTCCCCTGAAAATTCAACAGGTAAGGTTATAGTAATCGACTCCTTAGTGACTAAGTCTTTGTGAAACCATCTATGTGTAAACAAAACTGACAAAATTAACCTTCAGTGGGCAGCACATGTATATTGTCCTACCAGTGGGTTAAAAAGTTTTATTGAGTTAGATCCCTGCCAGGAGTTAGGAATTCATGAGTACAGTATGATTAAATTTTTATTATCATTCAATACATCATTATTAGAATATCCTTTTGAAAGTTAGTTGAAGCAACAAAATACAAGTGACAGTCTCCCATTGAAGGGTGACTGTTGATTGCAACGTTCACATATTAACTTTTTTTGTGCTTTTTGATATATTTATAAATAATTCCTATAATTATGATTATCAGTTATTATATGTAGCTACTTTATCACAGCATAGCCAAACTGCTACAAATTTGTGCAAGTTTGTGCAGGAAACAAAATCAATCAAGTACCTTAGATAATGCACATGTTCATCACTGGGTCAAATAACCAATAGATTGTCCGACATAGTCAAGCGGGTCGTGGTGGAGATGTCAATAGCATTTATGAATATAGGATTGTTAAAAATGGCTAGTGGAATAGTTTAGTTTTAGTTTTAGCTTTGAGTTTTAGTTCTCAGGTCAACTGTTATGATATTGATTTTGGATTTAACAAACCTATGGAAATACTGTCACACAGACAGAAAGCTGGCGGAGAAAAGGGGCGACAAAGCAGTATAACTGTAAAAGTAATACATTGTACACAAAATATAGTTGTCAGTTGTATTTCTCCCTCCAGCAGTGTTTATGCATAAGTTAGTGATATCGCCTATAGTTTTGTTTGCATTTGTAATTTCATCATGCAGGTTCCTCTCTGTATTTCATGACCTGCCAACCTTTCAGAGGAAAGATCATGGGGAGTCAGGGGTTGAATGACAACTAATACTGAGTAAGACCTTTCAAGTGGCTTGATTATCTGTTGTCAGTGTGAAGAGTTGTTGTTTATTATTAAGGCGTTTAAAGTATGGAAGCTGCCAAACACCACTTGAAAAATGTAATGTTCACTATAGTATTGTTCTGTGAAATGTCGCTACACATAGATGGCCACTAAGTAGTCAATTTACCTGTTTTCACCTCTCCTTGAGGTTTGTTTCAGTTTTTTTTTACTAGTGTTATAAGTATTGATAGACAAGATTATGACTTATTGACATAACTAACTGCAATTTAAGGTCATACAAAACATTTCAAAAAATTAAGGAAAAGGGTAAACAGGTGACATAGATACTACTACTTCTACTTCATCTACTTCTTCTACTACTACTACTACAACAGCAACAGCAACAGCAACAGCAACAAGAACAACAACTACTACTACTTCTATTACTACTACCACTACTATTATTGTGAAATAGGCCTATGCATGTAAATGCACAATGCTTTCAGTTTTGATACCAGACATTGCCATTGTGTATATTTCAATATCTGTTTAATTTTTCTTTTGGGTAAATAGCACAGGACAGTGATTATTCAAAAGATTTTGAAACATTTTTTCTTGCAACTGGAAATGTAAATGGATTTAATTGATATTGATAAAACAAATGAGAGAAAGACCTACACATGATCATGACCATTGGGGGTATGGTTTGTAAACTTTCTACATGATTTGTCATCAATTAAGAAACCAGTCTAAGCTTTTATCATGTAAAAATATACATGGTGGAGGTTTGTTAGCTTCTGATATAGTGTGAAAGGTGAAAAGATGATCCAGGTTGGTTTACCATGCTATATTATTATTAAAAAATATATATATTTTCAGTTTGCAATAAAACTATCATAGAAGGAAAATGTTAATGATTTTTCTGAAAAAGAAATTTTAAGACTTCATTGTTTTTCTTACTTTACTTAATAATCATGAAATTTTACCAATGTCTCTCCATTTTCATCAGTATTAGCTCAAGGTCTCTTGAGCCTTACTGATCCCTAATGTGCATTAGTGTGAAGGTTAAATGATTACATTCTGGTAAACTATCATTCAGCAGCATATCTGATTACTGAAACTGTTGTCAGTTTTATTTTACTGTTTGAAATTGATAGAGAGCTGGAGAACAGCCTCTCAGAATCATGTCCAACTGATCCATTGTACATTAATTACAAATGCTTTGTCTCATTTGAGAACAATTATGAGGATTGATATTTAACAACAAACAGTTCTTTCATATTCATATCATGTTCAGTTTGTTACATTACTGTCTTCAAAGGATTGATGAGGTAATCATTTTCAACTTCCATGCCATAATCTATGAACTGTGCAATAGAAAATAATTTCAATAAATCTATGTATAACCTGGTAAATTCAGTGTTTCACATACAGTATTAGAAATTTGATAAGTATTCTTTAAATACCATTAATGGTGCAACTATATGCCTTGGGATGTAAAACCCAATGGACTTTCTCAATTTGACATACCTTGGCTATAGAGCCGAGATATGTCAAAACCGTCATGTTTTCTAATCATTCTGGAGGAGGAGCCCTTCACTGATAAAGATGGAAGAAAGTTGAATTGTGATAGGTCCAATAACTGCCGACGTCACATTGCGTATTCTTATTAGCAAAAAATCTGTTATGGCGGTTTGGTGCAAACTTCATTACTATTTCACTTTGGTAACATGTGTGCTATTCAATTATATGTTTACATTCCAAGTTGTGTTTGTGAATTACTTATTAATAGAATGTTGAAAGTATTATTTGTTTAGTAGACCTATGAAGAGATTTAGTGCTATATATAAAAGTTACTAATAATTAATGAATTTATTGCAATCCTCAAATTCCAGAGATTTAGGCTGTTATATCACATTTCTTATGAAATGTTAACTCTTTGTTCCTATTTCCCACAGTGGACACATGCTTTGTCCACTGTGAATTTGGTTTAATAATTGTGTTTGCGTATGGATGACTCTGCAAGTCACATAGATTGCTCTACAAATGCTTAGTCATCAAGGAGTCAATTACTAATCCCACAAATCACACCCTTTTTCTTGAATTATATATTTTTTATAGCTGTTAGTATTGTTAAATACATATTAATTAAGATAGTGTTAATGCTAATAAAAACACTATCAAATTTAATGGAGTTTGAAGAAAGTTCAAAGAATTCAGGTGAGGTCGTCATTTACTAATTGACTCCTGGTTGGCTGAGCACTTGAGGAGCTATCTATGTATAAGCTTCTTACAAAACAAAACTACAGTGGGCATTGCATGTTCCTATTGACAAGGGGTTAGAGAAGGAAATGGGCTTCTTCATTGATGTGATGATTTTAGTGCTACTGGTATCAATATTACTATTCAGTAGTAGATAAGAGAAACAGTAATAATGGTAGTGGTAATGGCAGTAGTAGTGTTGGTAATAGCAGCAGTGTTGAATTAGTATTAGTAGGCTATTATTTTCTTTTATCAACATTGGTATTGTTGTTACTTGAATTGCTAGTCTATTTTTTTTTTTTTTTTTTTTTTCTTATTATTATTTTTTTTTTATAATAATGTATATATTTCCTATTTCATCTTCTGATTGCATCTTACACTCTATTAAGTATTTTGTATAGATATTGTGTTATATTTATGTATGTATTTTGAGGTATTTTTAAAACATGTCTTTTATGGTAAAAGTAAGAGTTGCATGGTATTCTTGTGTGGCTGTATGCAGGAAGTTGTGGTTCAAGGAATTTTGTTTCAAATTTGTTTGTATTTTGCCACTTTTAAGGGGGAATATATGAGAACTGGTGCTTATGGAAGAAAGTTTTGCCAAATTTTCTCATAACTGGGCCCATTATATGATCCAAATACTGTTAGGGAGATGTGATAGTGAAATTAGTTTTGAAATATTAATTCAGTGTAAAATTGTGCCATACTTGATTTTGTCAGTTGGGCAAAATTATCATAGCTTTAGAGTGGATGTAATTTTACATAAGAAGGTACATGATTTAAACTTTCCTACCATCACATGGCCTACTCACAAGAAATCTTCCTTTATATCCATAGGGAAGTTTTCAGAATGATGAGTATGCTTACTAATTTTAATGTAGTGTAATAACTGTATTTGGACCAGTCTTAAACATTTTGCTCAGATCAGCTAGAAAGTGATATTTGGAAAGTATTTAGGTGTTTGTTGAGGGTTTTACTTTTGTTTGAAATGTTACTCTTCTTAGCACTTTATTTGAGGTCATTCTCCAATGTAAGCTTTCATCTGCATATAGAATTGGCTCTGTAGTGATTATTGTTTGTGCCAAAAGGTAATGACAGTTATATGACAGACAAACATAGCTAGCAAAGTCTTCATATTTACATATGAATCCAATTGATTCTCTTCCTTGTTGTTTACCTGTCTTATTCATTGATTGTGTCTCGCTCCCGTTCCCTATTTCATACTTCGCAATTTATCCCTTTTTCTCTTTCCTTCTTTCAGTTATTCACCCTCTTTCTATCTGTCTGATTGAACCATAGGCATCACTAGCTTCTGTGTCCACTGTAGGAGCATCAGACTGGTAGGATTTCACTCTAAAATTGCTCTGCTCCACCTCAGCCTCTTCTGCTACATCTCATCTGTAGTCTGTAAAACAAATTCTGACTCAATATTAGTTGATTTTACATTAGCAATATCAACATTGGCCAACTGCTGTGTTGTCATCAAGACTTCCTATGGTTTTCTGGGATTCACATTTAGTTTGGTGGCTAGACATACATAATAATAATTTCTGTTAAGACATGTAACCAGTTTAGATTTATTTGTCAATAATCATTATTAAGGAATCCTAAAGCATTGATTTTCGCAAAATAGTAATGGGTCTGGTGATCTCTGTTAATGTTATAATAAAACCTTATAGCCAGCATTTATGATGTATTTATTGATGATATTAATGGACAGAGGAAGGCTACAATCAATTTTGGAAGCAACAATGCTGATCTGTCTGGTTTAATTAATCTAATTATATTAACCAATTTGTCTTATTCATAGTTCTGCCCTAAACTTAAAAACATATAATTTTTTTATTTTTATTTGCTTGCCTTTTGTGTAAAGTTGTATCATACTTGTTTTTATTCTAATCCTTCCTTAGATTTTGTTTATTAGTTGAAACAAGCCTGTGAGAAGATAGAAAATAGACTGTACTTGGTGTCATGATGCAATGAGATTTAGTGCAAAGAAGGCAGTTCTTGGTTTGCACTGGGTACCCTTTCTTCATCCTATTACTACTTTTGCTTGGGAAACTCTTTTATGTGAAATGAAAAATATAATCACACTGTATTTAAGTTCCCATTTTGATTATATAAAAAGAAAATCAAAGTGTACACCTGGTCTAGAATTGCTCTATGATAACTGTCAGCAAAGTAGTTTCATGCCAATTTCACTTGTATAAATATAAAAGCAAAATATGGCTATGAAATATATTTTCAGTAGATGTAATCATCATACAATAATACTTATTTTGGTAGTTATGACTGATTAGGCTAGCATCTACATAGAATCCCTGAGCATGTATGTGTAGTATCTGTTCACACAATATTTATTGATTTTATATCGTAATTGAACTGTGCACATTGTGTAGCTCTAAGGTTATGGTCAGTTCTATTCTATTTTATTTGCAGCTGTCAACTGCAACAGAAGTGTTATTAACCTTGGTTGAGATTATTGGTTACGGTTAATGGCCACAAAAAGAGGTTTCATCTCACTCTCTGGAACTCGATAATATTCATTTTTTTCTTCTATTGATGAACTTGCAGTTTTAGTGAACAGCCTTGGCTTTAACCATTGTAGCGTATAAGCATTGTTGTTATTGTTAATATTTTTTGAACTCTGTTTTCACGAAAATGAACCCAAGAACACTAGGATGGCAAAGTGTTTTGTTCATGTTATAAGTCTGTTATTTTTATTTTTTTTTTTTACCTTGGATATTATCATACTAATGTTGCTGCTTATTAACAGATCACATTCCACAATGGTGGATTACTACAAAGTCCTTGAATTGAACCGGAGTGCTTCCCAGGCGGACATCAAGAAGGCATATCGTCGTCTGGCACTCAAATGGCACCCTGACAAAAATCCAGACAACCAAGATGAGGCAACCAAAAAGTTCAAGGAAATATCAGAAGCTTATGAAGTATTAAGTGATGAAAAGAAAAAGAAGGTAGGCTAAGTGTCTTGTGTTTTAACTATGTTACGCTATTGTCATCTACATCACCATATGCTCTATAATTTCTGTGATGTTCAAGAGTGTGACCCTTATCAGTTTGCTCCTTAGTAGTGGAAGCAAAACATGGCTTTTGGATGAAATTAACTTTTGATGTTTATACTTTACACTTTTGTTTGAAGGAACCCTTCAATTATATGTCAATTTTGGGGTGAAACAAACTGAAATAACTTATTTAGACTAGTTATTTTATTTTTTTGTAAAAGGAAATTGGAGGCAAGGAATGGCAAAGTGTGTGTATGTGTCTGTATGCATGCGTGTGTGTGTGTGCTCATGAGAGAGGGAGAGACAGTAGAATTTGCAGAAAGAGAGGAAACTTCTTTTATACATGAATTATATCTCTTAGCTGATAGGCCTTTTTTGTGGAACACCTATAGAAGTAGGTGTTCCACATCAGTTCTCCACACTCCTTCAGTGTGGTAACTTAGAAACCATATTTGCATCCTATTTTCTTAGCAAATTCAGTGAAATTGGATGGTAAGATGCACCGTTACTATATTTCAGGAAAAAAAATTCTTTCACTGAGTATCTTTGTAAGGTAAAATTTAGGGAGTTGATGGATTCTAATTTTTTTATGCCATAACATTTGGGAGTCTAGGGAACTAGGTTTGATGAAAATTGATTGATATTAAAGTCTACATTGACCAGAAAATACATCTCTGTATAGAGTTCATACAGTCACTTGTCAAGCATTTTCAGAACCAAAATCATCTGTTGTATCATTCAGATGATATATTGGTGTAATTTATTTTATTTATTTTAGTAAATTTCAGATTTTTTTTTTGTCAGGCTTAATTGGAGAACCAGCATTGATTTCCCCAGCTATACCAATGTTTTCGGAGTTTCAGCTTTAAATCTCATTGTTAAATATTCCAGAAAGTTTCTTTTACACATCTTGTGTTGCAATTTTCCTGTTTGTTAACAAAGTAAATGGTGAAATTGGGGAATGACCATTGTGTGTATATATGAATTCTATATTTATATGGCAATTACCAATAGTTCCTTTCCTGAATTATTTAATCTATTAAATTAGGTATTATATTTGCTATTTGTTCAAATTTCTTGATCACCATGAAGTAACAATTTTGTCGGTTTAATTAAGATAATTTTGTGCAAATGGCTTGAAGCAGGGGACCTACAAAGAACTATTAAAAAAGATCATGTTTCCTCTTCTTATAATACAGGGCCAGTGAAAGGGAAGGCTGTTTTTGTGCTATGACAGCCCTTGTTTAATAGCATATCTTTCATGTTCATTCATTCGTCATCATCAGATTTAATTCATATTGTTTTTTCATTAGCAAATCTTTAACAGCTATTTTCTTTTCAGATTTATGACCAATTTGGCAAAGAAGGACTTCAAACAGGAGGTGGACCTGGACCTACAAGGCCTCGCACATCCCGCTCAGCACGTCATCATGGCCACTATCGCTATGACGATGATTTCGACTACACCTTCCCAACGTTCACTTTCAGAGACCCTGAAGAAGTGTTTAGAGAATTCTTCGGTGGCGATCCCTTTGCAGAATTGTTCAGCTTTGACCCCTTTGACAACCACAGTCGGCGCCGTCGGCAAGGCAGACACAGAGGAAGTTCAGATCCTTCTCTCTCACATCATCTCAGCCATCCAAATTCCATCAGCAGCAATTTCTTCAATCCTTTCGGCACACTTTTTGGGGCAGGGATGTTCTCACCTTTCTCAGATTTTGACACTCTTGGTGGTGGCGGCTTTACCTCATTTTCCTCGCAGTCCTTTGCCACAGTTGGGGGCCCTGGCATGAAACGCACTTCCACCTCAACAAAATTCATTAACGGCAAGAAAATTACCACCAAGAAGGTTTCAGAGGGTGGCCAAGAAACTGTCATGACCTTTGAAAATGATGTACTCAAATCCAAAACAGTTAATGGTGTACCGCAAGCCTTATCTTACTAGGATGAAAGTCAATTTTGCAGAAGACTGTGAAGTGTTTTGTGGAGACAGTCTAACCTTCAAGAGAGGTTAGAACATTCTTGACTGTTTTGCTGACAAAGCTAACATTTTGTGTTTTGCTGTTATAGTAAGAATGATTACATTGTGTACATGATGTGTAAAATGAAGTGAAAGGATGTAAAGTTTATGTTCAGTGTATTTAAGTTATTAATGATTATCACTATGATTTATTTTTGCATAGCTGCTGTACACCTCAAAAAATTGCTGTATCATTTTATTTTTTCTTTCTTTCTTTTTGTTTTTTCCTTTTTCCCCACTTTCAAAAACTGTACTTACAAAGGTAATAGACGTATGAGGATGATCTTTAACTATTAGATATGGCTAAGCACAATTAGCTTACAGAAAAGTGTGGTACAAAATAACTGCACTAGACTAATATATACTTATAGGCTCTTAGATTTGGTTGTGTGTTACTGAGCTTTAGCTCTTTGGCTAGGTTATAAAAGCCTTTTTGATTTATTGGTTTATTTATTTATTTTTCTTTATCCAGAGTACTTTTTTATTTCAGTATTATGTATAAAGGATTAGTCTCAACTAGTCTGCCACACTTATGGATAGAATTTGTTTTGGTTGATTAAAAGGCATGATAGTGACTTAGCCCATTGGATGTTTGTAATCAGAATGGACAACCAATTTTTGAGAACCAATGAGTGAAAGGTACTGAAAGTTTATGTATCTAAAATTATGAGATTCTTACAGTCAGAAAGTGCTTTCCATATATTCCTTGGATATGAACCCTCCTTTTTTCCATCATTAAATGCTTGTGAGGGGAATATTTTTTGAAGACTTGATGTTAGATAAGTGTATGCAATTTTAGTGTTTGATAGATGTCGACTGGGGACAAGATCACATTGAAGCAAGATATTTTGCCCTGAGAAAAAAAGATGATTCTGTGGTTTCCAAGAAATACAGCAGAGTCATTTTTATTTTTCTATAATGACAGCCACACTATTTTGTGGAGAAGCAGAAGGGGTGCAGGAGACTTCTCTAAAGGTGTCCTCACAGTTCATAGTGTGGCTTGCCCAAGTTTCTTTAAATTGATAGCATCATGTACATACTGCAAGCTTTACTAGATTTCAGGAAGTATAGCTTTAGATTGCATTGAAACAGTCCTCAAAGCTGGCCTTTCACTTTTAGTAGCTTGTCAGTATTTGTTTAAGGAATACTGGCATTGCTAGTCACACTAGGTAACTGGTTTACTAAGATTTCCATGGGGCATCTGAAAATTAATTACCAGCTTGCCTCTTATCGATTCATGTGGTTTGTTTGTTTATTTAATTGTCATACATCTTCAATCAGTAGTTTGTCTTTTCTCGTGGCTTGCTTTAAAACAACAGAAGTACTAAAAATTATTTCAAAGGCACAAGTTCATTGATTAGAACAGTGTAATATTAGAAACACAAATATTAAATAAGGTTTGAAAATGTGGCATCCACAATAACAACTTCTCATCGTTATTAAGCACATGTTTCGTGAATTGTCATACAAAAAGATTACTTTGAAATGTGATATTTTCTTTTAATATTTGTTTCCAATTTCTCTTTAGTAGAGAAAACTAATATTAGTCATATTAATAGCTTTCCCATTCTTAGTAACCATGAGATATGACAAAAGAGTATCGTCAATGTTTAAGTTAGTTGATAGTAGTCTGCTTCAAAGTGTAAAAATTACCTGCATTGTACACCAGTAATAGTATTGTAGGGCTGCGTATGTAAGGTTGTAGTGTTCTGGGTTGGAGATCTTGGCGTACAGACTTTAGGAGGGTAGATAACTGTTCAGAATTTAAGTATCATTTGTGTAATTCATAGATGAATTTTCATTATTTTTTTGTTATTATTATGATGTTATTGTTGTTATGATTATTATTTTTATTTTATTTTATTTTTTTCATAGTAAAGACTTTTGTTGTAGGTTTTTAGATGTATGGATTTACTGTTACGATATATATGGTGGAACTTCGCTGAATTGAAATTTTATGAATAAAGGAAGTTTTCATTTTGGTAGATGAAATAGCCTGTGATCTTTCGTAATTTCCCAACACACTGATTCTTATTTTTTTCATAGTAAAGACTTTTGTTGTAGGTTTTTAGATGTATGGATTTACTGTTACGATATATATGGTGGAACTTCGCTGAATTGAAATTTTATGAATAAAGGAAGTTTTCATTTTGGTAGATGAAATAGCCTGTGATCTTTCGTAATTTCCCAACACACTGATTCTTTAAATGGTCATACCATAGCAGTAGCTATTTAAAACTGCTCTCTTAGTTTTCTGTTTGTGTTTGTTACTGTTTTGATGTCAAAGCAAAATTTAAGGTTGTAATTATTTCAGGTTACCGAGGTTTCACTGTCATAAGAAATGGCTATGGATTTGAGATGAAGAATGAGAAAATCTCATTTTCCCAGTTAATGAATATGAATAAGATTTTGTGAATATAACCTAGGATGATGAAAGTCTTCATAATGTTCTAAATGTATTTATTTATTTTTTTTGTATTTTTCTTTTTTACATAGAAAAAAATAATCTCTCATTTTTCTTGAATTCTTAACTCATGGTTTTAATCTAGTTGCTATATTTTTTCCCCTCAAGTGGTGTTGATAGATTGTTGAACTGGAAAGAAAGAGTGAAAGAAATAAGTCTTCAGAATAAAAAAAAAAATGAATAATGTTGTAAATGTAGTTACTTGGTCTTACTTGATCCTGTCTGTAACCAGAATTGACAGCTATCATACAGTGTGACAAAAAACATTATGGAGATGTAACATTTGTCTGTGGAAGTGTAGCACTCAATACAAGTTATTGACATACCTTTTAGGTTTAGGTAATTGTTTCTATGAATTGTGACTACTATGAGTTTTGTTCATAAACCGAGGTACCACTTTCAATCGGTTAATGAACATGGAACTTGCCAAAGATGAAGGATTTGTTCTGTGAGAGCTGTTTAAATCAAAATCATATTGACTGAGTCTTATAAATAGAGATGCACTTTACATCAAGACTTTGTTAATACCTGTCTATTATAGTCTTTTGTATTTTTTTTTTTCCATTATGAAAGACTAAAAGAGGTTGTGTGGAAATGTTATTTTTAACTCCAAATTAATTGAAACAAATACCCTGTTCAGCTAATGGTACAGTAGATATTTTCTTGATTGGGAAAGATTTAATTGATTTCAAGGCTTAATCACTGTGTAATCACTATGAACTGATTTCATATAAAAGTTCATGTTGCTAGAATGAATATATTCTTTCCTTTGCTAGCTGCAAAGTTTCATTATCAGAACATGTGAAAGCATAGCATATGATGATATGTTCAGAATGCTTTTGAAGTAATGAAAGCAGGTTATGTGGACTGCACTTCAGTAAGCTACTCTTGAAAGGTACCCAAAGATTATTGAATATCATTCATAATAGTTTAGGCTTGCTTTGATTGTATGTATAATATTTATGTAACCTATAAATAATAAAGTGTTTATTATCTTTACCTAAATGTTAATATTTTATTTAGATATATTGTAATCATAATATTGTTGACAATAACTGCTCAGCATTTCTTTAAGAACACAAAATCTAATATTATTTTTTAAAATTTTGATTTGATGCACACACCACACACACAGTTGTAGTGTTCTCGTTTAGCAATCTTGCTGACCTGCATTGAAATCCCACGATGCCAGTGGATGGTAACCCCGGCAATACCTTGCATATAAGGGGTAATTTAGAAGTAAATAGTCTGACACACCAAGCAAAAGAATAACAGTTGTAACAAATGGAATTCACATTTTTTTTTTTTTTTTTTTTTTTTTTTTTTTTTTTTTCCTTCTTCTTTTATCTTTATCTCTCTCTTGCTCCTTCATATCCTCTCTTACTCTCTTCCGTCTCTCTCTCTCTCTCTCTCTCTCTCTCTCTCTCTCTCTCTCTCTCTCTCTCTCTCTCTCTCTCTCTCTCTCTCTCTCTCTCTCTCTTCCCCTCCCCTCATCTCTCTCTTCCTCCTCTCTCTCTCTCTCTCTCTCTCTCTCTCTCTCTCTCTTCCTCTCCCTCTCTCTCTCTCTCTCTCTCTCTCTCTCTCTCTCTCTCTCTCTCTCTCTCTCTCTCTCTCTCTCTCTCTCTCTCTCTCTCTCTCTCGATTGCCATGTTTTTCCACCTAGAATTGATTCATAATTGTGTGAACAAATGCATTAAAAATTCAAATTGTGGCACTCTGGCATTTTACAATATTGCAACACTCATGAAACCTATACGAGGGCTGGGAAACATATCAGCTGATAACATTTATTTTCTCGGGAGTGTAAAGTTATTGTCTCATCATCATCATCATGCGCCATTCTACTATTCTGTTGGTGCAATAACTGTGAAACACATTGTCAGTAATGTAGAAAGTGGAGGAATGGAAATTGAGACTGCACATAGGCCAGGCAAATTTCAGGGTAGCAGAATGTGTGGAACAGAAAGCGGAACATTACATGGGGTACATAGAAGTGAATCATAAGCAAGCATGAACCGTATCCCAGTGTCTACTCTGATGAAATGTGGTTAACCAAGAGGAAAATGATAGTTTTACAGTATGTAATATCTGTAAAACGATAATTTTCCTTATGAAAATTATATACTGTAAAACTGTAAATCATTTTCCTCTTTTCATCATGCCCATTTATGATTCACCTCTATGTACCCTATGTAATGTTCAGCTTTCTGTCCCACACATTCTGTTATCCTGTCCAAGCTTTACTGAAGCCCGTAACTCTGCTTTCCCTCACTTATCTTCCCCTTCCTGACCTCCTATCCTATTGCACATCCTTACAGAATCACTAACTTTCTCCTTTGACAACTTCTTGTCCTTCCTTAGATGCATTCATATCCTTCACTTGATCCAATGCTCTCTTATTCTACCTTAACCTGTTTACTCATCTTCTCTATATGAATTGACATCTGTTCCATTTATTGGAAGGTTTTCACGCAGAATAAGGTTTCTCAGATCAGATTTCGTAAACTTTTTTTTTTTTTTTTCTGCACTAGTACTGTCCTTTACTCCTCTCCTTCCCCTCACTCCCAAGATGTTTCTACATCTCCCCAGTATCTCTTCCTCATCCCCATTCTCAGGGCTGGATCCGGGGGGGGGGGGGGGGGCATACACCCCCCCTATTTTTGGCAGAGTAATGTTTTTTTTCAGACCAGGAATTTTTTACACACCATCAGGGAAAGACGTGGGATATAGGTAGGTAAAGTCCCAGTCAGCAATAGAAGGGATAATTGATAGAAACTTTCTATCCCACTTAGGTTTCACTCACAATCGTTTCAGCTAGTGGTTTCTAACAATCCTGGATCCTGCCCTGCTTCTACCCTCTCCCTCTCTCAGACAAATTTTTGGCAGAGTAATGTTTTTTTTCAGACCAGGAATTTTTTACACACCATCAGGGAAAGACGTGGGATATAGGTAGGTAAAGTCCCAGTCAGCAATAGAAGGGATAATTGATAGAAACTTTCTATCCCACTTAGGTTTCACTCACAATCGTTTCAGCTAGTGGTTTCTAACAATCCTGGATCCTGCCCTGCTTCTACCCTCTCCCTCTCTCAGACAAATTTGTTTGTCATTCTAAATCTCCACCACTATTCCAGACACTCTACTTCCCTGGTTCCTACTCCTCTTCCTCCTCGCCCAACTTAGCTCACAAGACAAGCTAAACGGTCCACCCCATCTTCTACCGCATCCTCTCCTACATCATCCTCTCCCTCTGCCCCTCAAACATCTGTCCCCTCTTCCCCCCCCTCATATGAAAACTTTTGTTTCTCAGACCTCAACAAACTCCTCTTCAGAAAAAACTCTCGAAGACATTCAAAATTATCTAATCGTGACCCAAGATAACATGCCTACACCTCATCCATCCTCCAATCTCTCTGCTCCCATTCCTTCTACACTCAAAGTAACTACCTACATCCATCATCCCTTTACTCATGATCCGTCTACACTCCTTGCTCGTACTCCCTCTCAGCACATCCCATTCACCTTCCAGCTACACCATCCCTTCTTCTTTCCCCATTGTCCCTTCCGATTCCCCCTTTGTCACAACACCCCCCTTCCCTGGATTCTCTCCCTCCTGATTTTTTTCCTGAAACTGTGATCTAATCACTCTTAACCCATTCACGCCAGGTGTCACGTATATGTGATGGGCCCACTGTGAGTTTACTTGTTTAATTGTTTTCACACATAGATTGCTGCACTTGTACTTGTACTGCCTGTGTCGCCTGTTTACCCTTTTCTTCAATTTACGAAAATATTATACGTTATCT